TCTACAGTGTAGAGGCACCCTTAAGTTTGAGGTGGAAACTTCAGAGAGAGAGAGATCATGGGTGCCCTCCAATTCAGAATTTCCCAAATGCAACTGAATTTGGTATCTTCACATCCAAAAGATGTATATCCAGGGATAGCCATGTTGTCCATGGAGCAAAATACACCAAACTCCACCAAAAACAAATGAACAAATGCAATGATATTGGGGAAAAGGCAGGGCAATGCAGGGTGATCAGGCATGCTTTTTTTCCAAGACATCTCATTTCAACCTTCTGTCCAAGAGGAATTCCAAAATGCCCTCCATTTGAGCATGGCTAAGAAGCATGAATGTATATTTCTAAGAGTGTTTTTAGCTTTTATTTGGTCATGTCCTCCATTTTTCTGGAATGGCCTAATTTTGTGGTGCTTTGTCCTCCTTTGTGGTGAGGACACCTGGTCACCCTGGGACAACAGGGTTGGGAGCAGAGGCTCTTCTGTCTTCCCTAGGTGTACAAGGGTAATCTAATAGTGTATAAAGCAACCCATGCAGCTGATCAGTAACTGAAGGGACAGAGCTGAAACCAAGACACAACCCTTTGTTGCTGTTGCACTGCCAGGGAAGAATGAGAGGCACATGAGTAAACTTTACCTTTCCTTTTGCAAAGGTGGCATGAGTGTGATGGCAAAGAGAAAGCTCCATCAGTGAGTGTGCTTACTAGCTTACAGCCTTTATGTAAATTTCTTCTTCTTCTTTTTCCATTAGCCATTAATATTGCGGGCTTATTAAATTGCAAAATAAAGCTACTTACCCCTGCCAAATTACAATCAATTTCGGGATGCACTCGGGAATTATCATATTAAAAATGTCACCCGTGCTGCATCCCAGCTCCCAGCTGTGCTCAGCTGGCCAATTTTCAAAAATGGGAGGTTCACGTTTTTGAAAATCGCTCGGCTTAGTATGGCTGGGAGCTGGGATTTAACCAGGATGCATTTGCCTGGTGGCATCAGTGGCATTTTTAATGTGATAATTCCCAAGTGCATTCTGAAATTGACTGTAATTTGGCAGGAGTAAGTAGCTTTATTTTGCAGTGCAATAAGCCTCTTGGTTACATTGACTGAGGACGTTATCACACGGGGGAAATCTGCTGGTTAATCCACAC